TTTTTTTTCTGTCTACAATATGGAACATGCGAACTGATTTTTTTTCCTTTTTAGTTAAGTACACAGATAAGGGAATTTGTGCATTAATAGATCACAGATGTGAACATTCCTGTGTTCCCAACGACCGAGATTACTATTGTTTATGCGACAATGGGTACGAACTGCAGGGAGACCGACAATCTTGTCAATGTGAGTTGCCCATTTTTATTATCTTAGCGATTTACATGTTTCCACTGCAACCTGAGTGCGCTAAAATTAGTTCTATTCACCCTGAACAGCACTCGATGTCTAGTGGTAATATTAATTGGGGCGCGCCAGCATTCCGTTTGTAATTAATGGTATGTGTGTCGCTAACGAGTGAGTCCGCGTGCAACTCCAGGTTGATGCGTACGAAGGGTCATTAAGCAGGTTCCTATTAAACTGTCAATGAAATCGGCATGTACAGGTTCGGGACAAATAGCGCCTTGATTTACAAGTACACAAAGCAACCAAATTTCACTAATTCATTTTATTACAGTTAAAACATGTGGAGGTGATGTTAACGCGGACCACGGAGTCATTACCAGTCCGGGTTTCCCGTATGAATACCCACCGAACGTACGATGCGTCTGGAATATTAAAGTCTCCAATGGATACGCCGTTGCCCTCACATTCGAGGGTGTTGACGTAAGTGTAAATATGCTTACCATTAATGCTGTTTCTACTAATTCGACTAGTGTATTTGATTAACAAGAGAGCATTTACCAGTTTGATATTGATGACAATCAGCCGAACTGGATATGTAGACGGCTTTTGGCCATAAATACACAATACAATGCGACGAAGACCTTGTACCGTACGGTAAGCATAGGTGGTAGCTAAAATCCCCGACACGTGTTTCGTCGATGTTTATGCTGCTGTGTGATGCAGCAACGAGGGCTTCGGATCCTCAGTGGGTCCCTCATCGTTCTTTGTGCGGTTTCTGGTAAACGAAATTCAGAAGATAATCAAGGGTATAATTTCAGAAATAACCAAGTGTATAAAATGGAATTGAGTGACCGAAACGTGACGTTTTAGGGTCAGACCCGAAGTTTCAATGAGCATCCGAGTTGAAGACAATAAACTACTGTGGTATTGTGTATACAAAAGAACGGTAGAAGTCTATACCATACTGCAGTTTTATTAGTTTTAGTACTGCGTGGTTGTAGAATAGGCATTAAAAATAAATTACCACGCGGATGTATGCTTCAGTGTGTTCTCTGCAAACAGTTCGGTATTGGCCGATTTTTCTTTGGTGACGTGATTTTAAGCAGCAAGTAGATTCATGGAGCGGTGTTGATCGTCTTTCCTTTTTACTGATAAATATTGCTAGTTCTCTAAATATACAAACAAACAGTGTTTAATTGTGATGGAATCTTAGCAAAGTGACCTGCAAAAACCTTTATTATAGGCTAGCATAACTAGTTGGCACGTATCC